TTGTTATTTCTAAGAAACTATTTTTTTTGTTAGGCTAAGACCACTTTATTTTAATGTTTATTCTATAAAAAAGGAGAAGACGGGGTTGCATCATAGGGGGGTTTTAGGCCTACATTCATATCATGTGCTATTCATCTTGCTCTCGTTTTGTGGGCCGCCCTGTCGTTGTGATCGAGTTACCGCTGTACTTGCTGCAGTAAACAGTTTGGAGTTCGCCCTTGTCGCGTCGTGCTTTCCTCATTATCGAAGGTGATTTCGCCCATTTTCAAATAATCATATGATTACATGTACAAACAAGAATTACAATGTACCTGAGCAAACTAGCTGTGAGCCGCTCCATTGTCCAGTCTCCAAACAAGTTCTTTTATTTGAACCCACAAATCCGGTCTTGCAATTGGTTAAGCATGTAGTACTATAGTTGGCGAGACTACCGTTACCATTGCAGCCATATCCAGACCTGATAGCATTGTCGGGAATAGGAAAAGATGGACACTGTACAACTATTAAGATCAAGAAAGGAAGACAAAAACAGTGTAAGTCGAAGAGTCAGTTGAGTTTGACTCTCACCGTTAGACTACCCCGCCACTCTGTGAGAGTGTCGTAGCTATAATGTAAAAATTAGTGTTGAACTTTGCCAAATTATGATCAGTGCGATATTCATTCCATTTTGGGCACCTATCAGTTTTGCCTGTTTATCCAGCTGAATATTTTTAGCTGTGTAATATAAATTACATGCAATTTGATATCCATAGAAGTAGGATCTTTCCTCGACGAAAAGCGATCACATTTCTTTTTTTGAAAAGTATAGGCTTGAACAGTTGTCCTCCGAAGGTGTACCAGGCCATCTCCTTCAAGCCAAGGGGAAAAGAGCATGGGAGTTGCAGGAAGGAGAATTTTATCGACTATCACCGAAGCTCTTTTCTGGCTTTAATCCCAGAATTTGATTGGCGAGCCCCTTTAAGACTTTCAGTTTTTGTTTGAGGTATTTTGTAACCATGAATTCACTGACATTCTAGCTGCAACAACATAATATCTGCTTGCACTTTGACAATCTAGTTTGAAAAGTGGTTTAAAACAAAACCGAACTCAAGAGTATCTCTACAGTAATGTCTTTAATGCTATTGACTTGTTATAAGAATTAAAGAGAATTACTGAAGAATTTATCCTTAAACGAGAGATAATAATTACCAGTTCTTTTCGATTAAAAAAGGTGTCGTTAGAAAAACGTTTAGATACACTGCTCGTAACGGTTTTCCAGCATTTTTCAGCACTTCTTCTGAGATGGATCGTTTTTAGTAGGTCTACACAATCACTGGAGAACAAGTTATTGCCTCTCTCGTCACGCAAGAAGTTACCATAGTAACAGGATAATCTGTTGAAAATACCCTTACTCAAATACGTTTCTTACTTTGGCATCTTGTTGGGGTCCCGGTCCAGTACACTTCATTGTTGTTTCTTTTGTCACATTTNCATGAATTCACTGACATTCAAGCTGCAACAACATAATATTTGCTCGCACTTTGACGATCCAGTTTGAGAGGTGGTTTAAAACAAAACCGAACTCAAGAGTATCTCTACAGTAATGTCTTTTATGCTATTGACTTGTTTTAAGAATCAAAGAGAATTACTGAAGAATTTATCCTTAAACGAGAGATAATAATTACCAGTTTCTTTTCGATTAAAAAAAGGTGTCGTTAGAAAAACGTTTAGATAGACTGCCCATAACGGTTTTCCAGCATTTTTTAGCACTTCTTCTGAGATGGATCGTTTTTAGTAGGTGCTACACAATCACTGGAGAACAAGTTATTGCCTCTCTCGTCACGCAAGAAGTTACCATAGTAACAGTATAATCTGTTGAAAATGCCCTCACTCAAATGAGTTTCTTACTTTGGCATCTTGTTGGGGTCCCGGTCCAGTACACTTCATTGTTGTTTCTTTTGTCACATTTCCTCACACTGGATCCTTTCAAGGTAAATCCAGTGTTGCATTCAATGCGGCAGACACTTCCGTAGACATTTCCACATGAATAATTATGTAGCTTTCCATTTGGTGGTGCGTATAGCACAGGGCATCTAAGAACTAAACAAGGAATAATTAACGATAAAAGCAACTGCAGTATCAGCAGAAAAGCAAATAATAATCAAACTTACGATGAAAATTTTAGTGGGCATAAATTGTTTCAGATACAGCTAAACTCAGTATACCCAAAATACAGTATAGCATGTATAAAGCCTAGTCCATACTAGCGACACAACGACATGACAAAAAAATTACGACATAAGAGGGGCGTGATGTCGATTTATTATATAACTGGCGTTTTCCTGCTACAGCGCGCCCATTCATTGGCTAGTTCATGGTCACATGACATCTAACAATGAAACTGTTTACCGCTAAATGTCATGAGCGGGCAACATTGCGAAAACTATAACGTCAAACGGAAAACAGTTCACTGTTACCAGCGAAATGTTGACCGCTCTTGCACGTGATCAGAGCGTGCAGTTGAAGGTGGCCTGATGTTGTCGCTGGAATCTCAGCGCGTTTTTTCACCGGTTTGACCCATTTTTTTTGCTATATAATACTCACTTAATGACTGATCCCGAGGGGAACAGTGAGTTTTGTTTCCCGAGAATCTCATTGTTCAATTAACGAGACGAAGTCGAGGGAAACATTAAACNTTTTTTTTGCTATATAATACTCACTTAATGACTGATCCCGAGGGGAACAGTGAGTTTTGTTTCCCGAGAATCTCATTGTTCAATTAACGAGACGAAGTCGAGGGAAACATTAAAGCACTTAATGTGTAGTCCCGAGGGAAACAGTTTTGTTTTCCCGAGAGTCGAGGGAAACACCAGGACTTGAAGGAAAACAAAACTAACTGGTTTACCGAGGGACTATACATTAAGTGCTTTGTTATATATTTAGACTTTCCCTTAAACAATCATATAGCAAAAACAAACAAATAAAGACGGCACAACTTCTTTATTCACAATCGTCTATCCTGCTGAATGAATAAGTCTTAACTTAATTACGAATGTTTCGAAGTACACGAAAAAGTAAAATATGCTTTTATAACGTCAATAACGAATACAAAATCATTTGGAATTGTGAAAATTGATGGTAACATTTGCTCCAGAAAATGCCCCTGCGTTAAAGTTTACGGTGTCCTGGCTGTGAGATGCGAAATTCTGCATAGTCACAGGGGAGTTTGGCACTGTGTTTCTGCCAAGCGAATTTTCACTTGTTTGCTCATGCATCGCCACAATTGCAGTGCTA